ATTAAACTCACAGAATACATTATGTCTGGTCTTGTTGCAGTTAAATACATCAAACTAACAACAATTTGCTTGTAAAGTGTGTTGTCCACCTTCTTCCCTTCATGATCTTTGTTTAGCTTCAAGCCAAACTCAGTTGGTGTGCTTACCGGATTGTAATCCTTCATCCGAAACCTGTCCAAAATATCTCGCACATACTTCTTTTGAGAAATAAACATCCCATTAGTTGATTGCACTACTTCTATGCCAAGGAAGTAATGCATCATACCAAGGTTAGACATTTCAAATTCAACCATCATAGATTTCTTGAATTCTTTAAACATGACACCATCATTTCCAGTAAATATAAGATCGTCTACATATAAGCAAACAATGAGCAGTTTCCCCTTATCTCCAATTTTAACAAAAAGTGTGTGCTCATATGGACACTTGTGAAAGCCTTCTTTCAAAAAAAAAGCCTCAATGCGACTATACCAAGCTCATGGGGCTTGTTTTAATCCATATNAATCATAGTAAGGGTAAAAAAGGGAAAAAAAATCCTAATAAACCTAGGAAAAGAAATTCTAATAAACCTAGACTATCTATACTCCAACATAATCTATACACTTTATGCTCATTTCCGATCTTAATATAACCAAGGGGTTGTTCTACAAATACTTGCTCCTCCAAGTTTCCATGCAAGAATGTCGATTTGACTAGTTTCCATGCAAGAATGCCGATTTGACATCCAGCTGAAAAATGGGCCACGAGTTTTGCGCCGCCAATGCGATCACCAATCTGATTGTATCATGTCTTGCAATGGGAGCAAAAACTTTTGTATAATCGGTCCCCTATTCTTGCGTATATCCCTTAGCTACCAAACGCGCCTTATGCTTATCAACTTCACCATTTTCCTTTAGTTTTGTTTTGCAGACCCACTTTACACCAACAGTTTTGTGGCCTTTCGGAAGATCAGTCAGCTCCCAAGTATCATTTATTTCAATGGCGTCAATTTCATCATCCATCGCCTTCCGCCATTTTGCTTCTTTGATGGCACTTTCAAAAATTGTAGGATCACAATCTGAAAACAAAGCAAAGTGAGTGATTGGATCTTCAATTTCAGTTACCTCGTAGTCTTCCATCCATGCGGGCCTTCTTTGAAGACGACAAAGAGATCGAGCTACAGCATCAATAACTTCTGCTGCTATTGGCAAAATTTCAGCAGTTGGTGGAGTTGCTTCTGATGAATTTTCAGGCATAAAGGCTGCTAGAGTTGGCTCTCTTTCAGAATCATAGTCAAAAAGAACTTGAGTAGGCTGCTGCCTATTCCAATCCCAAGTGTTTTCCTCATCAAAGACAACGTCTCGGCTGGTCACAATCTTCTTGGTTAGTGGATTAAACAATTTATACGCTTTGGATGCTTTACTAACACCAAAAAAGACACTTTTTTCCTTTATCATCAAGTTTCTTCCTTTTCTCATCTGGGATATGTGCAAAAGCGATGCAGCCAAAAATTTTAAAATAATCTACAGCTGGTCTCCTTCCACTCCAAGCCTTCTCTAGTGTCATGTTTTGAACAGCAAAAGTAGGACTTCTGTTCAAGACATGGATGCTCCAATTTGCAGCTTCCGGCCAAAAACTCTTTGTTATTCTCCCTCTTGCCAGCAAGGTTCTCACCATATTGAGGATGGTTCTATTTTTCCTCTCTGATACACCATTTTGTTGTGGTGTATAAGCAGCTGTCAGCTCTCTTCGAATGCCATGAACTTCCCAAAAAATTTCAAATTCGGTTGAGCAATATTCTCCACCACGATCTGTTCAGAGGGTTTTAATGGTCTTTCCNCTTGCCAGCAAGGTTCTCACCATATTGAGGATGGTTCTATTTTTCCTCTCTGATACACCATTTTGTTGTGGTGTATAAGCAGCTGTCAGCTCTCTTCGAATGCCATGAACTTCACAAAAAATTTCAAATTCGGTTGAGCAATATTCTCCACCACGATCTGTTCAGAGGGTTTTAATGGTCTTTCTTGTTTCATTTTCCACACAAGCCTTGAAGCTTTTAAATGCACAATAGGCTTCTAATTTTTTCTGCAAAAAATAAACCCAAGTTTTTCGAGTATAATCATCAATGAAGGTAATGAAGTAACTTTTACCTCCATAAGAAAATGGTGTTATCGGGCCACAAATATCAGAATGAATTAGCTCCAAAACACCTTTTGCTCGCCATGACTTCCCTTGGGGAAATTGAGAACGATGTTGTTTGCCAACAACACATTCTCCACAAACTTGGGAAGGAATACTAATCTGAGGAAGACCTGTCATCATATTTTTCTGTTGGAGGGTCTTCAAACCACCAAAACTCAAGTGACCATAACGAAAATGCCACAACCAAGAAGGATCTTTTACTTCAACTACCAAACAAGATTGCACACTTTCAATCTTCAATGGAAACAACCTGTTTGAACTCATTTGCACAGCAGCAATAGCTCCTCTAACAGGATCATAAATCTCACAAACACCCTTTTGAATAGTGATTATATAACCCTTTTCTTGCAATTGACCAACACTTAACAAATTGCTTTTCAAGTTAGGAACATAAAGGACATTAGAAATTGTTTCTACAAAACCATTCTTGGTTCTTATCTCAATATCACCCTTTCCCATCACCCTCACAGTGGAACAATCACCAAAACTTACTGTAGAATGAAAGCCTTCATTTAAATAAGAAAAAAAAGACTTACTTTCACACATGTGGTTACTGCAGCCCATATCCACATACCAAACATCAAACTCAGGTTCCTGATTAGCTTGAACAGCCATCAACAAAGTTTCTACTTCCTTCTTCTCGGCAAAGTTCGATTGCTCTTCCTTTTCTTTGTCATTAGGCAGCCTAGTATAACATTCAGAATGATAATGTCCAAATTTATGACATCTAAAGCACTCTACCTTGGATTTGTCAAAATATTGATCTCGTCCTCTGCCTTTGCCCTGAAATTGATCATCATTGGCTTTGAAATACCTGCTGCCATCTCTATTGCCTCGATTTCCCCTTCCTCTACCTCTACCTCTACCCCTTCCTCTAGAGTTTGAGAAAAGAGTAGAGGTAGAAGCCTTCAAAGCTTGCTCCTGTGAAGTTGAACTTCTGTTCATGGACCAGTAGGGAGCTCTGCGGTTCATCAAGAGAGAATGCATCTATGTCTTTCGATTCTTCAATTGAACACACGACATAATCAAATGTTGGTGTCAGGGAACGCAATATCTTCTCCACAATGGTGACATCTTCCATCTTCTCACCATGAAATCGCATTTTGTTGCTTATCTCCATAGTTCTGGTACAGTAGCTGGTGACAGATTCCCCATCCTTCATTTATAGTGTCTCAAAATCTCTTCTCAAAGCTTGAAGCTGTGCACGCTTCACTCTAGTAGAGCCTTGATATTTTTTCTTCATGGAATCCCAAATATCTTTGGAAGTTTCTTTGCTAAGAATTGCTTCTAAGATGGGACGATCAATTACCTGAAAAAGGTAATTTTTTGCCTTCAAATCTTTTAACTTTCTCCCTTCCAACTCTGTTTTCTGGGCATCCGTCAAGACTGTATTTGTTGCTGGATCTTCAATTTCAGACTCAACGATCGGCCAATACTCTTTTGACCGTAGAAAATTCTCCATTAGCATACTCCAATGGTATGACCATCAAAACGTGGGATTGCTGCCTGCACAAAGTTGGAATCTGAAGCCATTGTTTCCTGCAAAATAAATCAGAGGAGAAAGTAGCTGTGGCTATTTTGGACTGTTTTGGGGACTCTCTTGCTGGAACTCTCACGTTTTCTGGCTCTGATACCACTGATACAGAGTTAAGAAAAATAGAAAAGAGATGAATTGGAATGGTAAAACTCAGTCTACATTTATTGATAAAGAAAGAGGGCCTATAAATAGGCTTTACATCATAACACTTCATCCTAGCACTAACCACAACTCCTATAAAATAGGATCACACATAAGACTCTTTCTCAGCCACAAAATCAAATAACCAAATACTTAAGGACTCGGACAAACCTACCGGTGACTAGAGCTTCCAATAAATATTAATAAAAAACATTTAAATCTTAACAGTCCAAGGGTGTTTTGGATGGACTCCCAGATTTCTGTAAAAGCAAACACCTGATAACCCTCACAATTTGATTTTGGGATGCTAAAACATTTTGGTGCAGGTGTGTGAGATGTCTGCAACAAGTGAAGTATGAATATTCTCTCGTGAAGAACAAGCTTGACACTCTGTTTAAGGTAAGTGCTATCTTGTAAATACAACTGGTGTTTTTCTAGAATCACAATAAGTATCCAAGTAAACCATCATCAAATCCTTGTAGCACACCTGCGGATCATACAGAAATTGAAACTTCCTTGAAAATGTTTTCTGTTTTCAGCATACTCCTGTAAGCCTCTGCCTTTTGTGTGGTATTTTGTACGAGTGTTTTTGGTTTTCCCCCCTTCTCTGCATGTTTGTTTTGTGTAAGGGTTTTGTCCCCCTAATCATTCAAAATGTCCATATTCAAACCCTTTTAAGATCAAATTTTCTGCCCTTCTCAGCTCTATTCTTATGTTTAGTCTTTGTTTTTAACCATCTCTCTTTTCAATGTAGATGGAGCAACAAATCCTGGCAGCTGGTGGGTCCATTCCTAGGTTGGTATAAATTGTATTAGTTTAATCTTCTGTAGTGTAAATAACATGAGACTGAAAGGTTGGTACTGCAAAGAGCTTTTGTGAGTTTTGTAGTCTGATAAATCAAGTCGATTGACTGGTGGGGTCTGTTAGATGTTTGTCCTAAGACTGTATGAAAAGAGATGATGTGAATAGTAGTTTTCTACCAGTTTTGTTGCCTCAAACCTGTTTTCACATATGGAATCTTATGGTTTATGTGGCTGTTTTGAATTTTCTTAGATTGATTTAATCAAGTGGATGATGAGTTTCCTGTTTTAGTCAGCATGGTGTGGACCTTTGTATCGCTGGTGTTGCATATTTTGATTGATCACAAGTGCACATTAATTTCCACATAGGAGACACCATTGACCATTTTGGGGATTGTTAGTCGTGCATCATGGGAGCCAAGCTCAATCATAACCTTTGCTTTACATACAGAAAGAAGAAATATGATGTAGTTCAAGCTTTGCCCATGTAACTCTTCAAATTTTCCATAAACCATAGCATTGCTTTACATACGGCATGAATAAACAAAGCAAAATACCTATGCCACTTTCTACCACTAAGTAGGAGGAAGAAGGCCTTCATGTTCAATGTACTGAAAACATCCAGAAAACCCTACCATCACAAACCCCATACAAACTGCTCCAAGCATCACCCCAGTACTCATCACCCAACAATACCTCCAAACCCAATCACTCCCTTCCTCTTCCTTGACCTCCCTCTCAGACTCCAGCTTAACCATCTCCTCTGCCGGCACCTTTTCTTCTGCCACTGCTTCATAGTATGTTTTTGGGGCATCATAAACAGGAGAACCAGGGCCAGGCAAAACCTCCCCATCATCATTGAGACATGATTGACTGCAAGAACAGGTAGAAGCTGTATCGAAATTATGAACCACCAAAGTCGTGTAATTGTCCCAGTTGCGAAAAGCGGTCTCCAGTTCAATGAGTCTCTGGGCAATGTGGCGCAGGTGGTGAGGCTTTGATGGGTTCGAAGCAACCTCTGCTGACAAAAGATTGGTTAGAAACAGAAATCTTTGCTCGATACCCTCAGAGAGAAGTTGGTGGCATGGTGTCTCCGTAGGAAGGGCGAACACTTGAACTAGTTCAGATTCAAGTTCCCGCAGTTTCTTCCGCAAAATTGCATATCTTTTTGTCATATTTGAAAGCCTTTTGGCAATAGTGTTTAGTTGTTCTTTAGGAGTTCTTTTTCTCAAAGTGATTCATGGCGGTTTACCAGCTCAAAGTGATTCTTTTGGGAGGTCTTAAGGGAACATGGTCACGATGGTTTACGGTTTTTTGGTTGGATGGGGGAAAGTCTACGGTTTTGAAAAAAATATGGTACTGATCCATCGGATAACTCTTTTTTATGGTAGAATTGTAATTTTGAAATGAGTAGTTACAACTGTTCAAGGGAGAAGCCAAAATTAATCAAAGATATCTCTATCATCGATCATGAATTTTTGCTATCGATCTCAACCTTTCATTTCAATCATGTCTTTTAAAGTTGTAACTTACACATAAAAAAAGTTGTAATTTAGCCTTGAAAAATTATAATTTTTTTGACCTAATCACTCTAAATTATTAGATTGATAGTGAATTTTAGTATTTTTTTAGGCTTATTATCAATCCAATGATTGTGATAAGTTAGATTAGTAAATTATGTCAAAATAGGATTAGTGCTCCAAAAAAATGTAAAATCAAACAAGAATCAAATGATATGCACAGTGCATATGGTTGAATTCCAAATTTTGTTTATTAGGTCAGCACCATATCATTTGATCATTTGTTGTTGTACTATTTTTTGAATTAATGTAAGGGAGAATCTCACATTGCACTCTAAAAGTTTTAATTTTTTTTACTTTGTACCCCTCAAAGATGAGATTTTTTTATATTGTATTAAAAATATTACAATGTAACCATTTTATTAGTTTTTGTTGTTTATTCCGTCAAAATCCGTCATTATATTAGACATTTTTAAAGTCTTGTATTTTACCATACAGTTGAACATTATTTTACCAAAACATGTCAGACTGTGAGAAACTTAATAGTTCAAAAGGCAAAGTAAAAGCAGAGCCATAATTTAGAAGAGTAAAGTGTAATTTTCCCATATCTATAATATTAAATAGCAGTGATTTCAACAAGTTTATCTTATAGTTCCAAATTCATTCATCCAACAATCAAAAAATTACGTTTTTTTTCCTTAATATTTCCCCCCATCAGGTCAATGATTATGACTGATCTTAAAACACATCCTATGATCTCAAATTCATTTATCTAACGATCAAGAAATTACCATTTTTTTCCTTAATATTTTTTCTCTAACCGGTCAACGATTATGACTAATCTTGGAATACAAAATTTTCTTTGATATAATAATTAAATGAGTCAAATTTGTCATTCATATCGTTTGTGTAGCATAACATTTTAAATTTTTATAAAACACAATGATAATATTTTGATTTAAAAAAACTCATCAATTTAACAAATTAAAAAAAAACAAGGGCGCTAGTTAATACATTTTTATTGAATATAATTAATTTTACTTTTATTTATTTAATTAATTATCTCAAACTAACATGTCTTACCTATATCTTGAATCAAAAATTCAACACTAATTTTTTTTATCTCATAAGAAAACTCAACGCTAATATATGCTTATAAATTAATAATTTTTTAATAACTTGTACTAATTAAAAAAATAATAATTTATAAATGATATTTATAGATCTTTTTTTAATAGAAAATATTTTGACAATATGTTTTTTAATAAATTAAATTTGGTTCGATTTTGATTACATGTGTATAAATTAATGATTTTTTAAGTCAATTCTATATATTTCGTGGATTTATCTATAATATAAAACAAAAAATACTTCAATAAGTTCATCCAACGGTCTCAAATAACCTGATTCAACAGTCACCAATATCTCTCTTAAAACTGTTCAGATTGAATTTTATATTTCTCTTCTAACTCTTCACTCTCTCTCNGAGGTCTTAAGGGAACATGGTCACGATGGTTTACGGTTTTTTGGTTGGATGGGGGAAAGTCTACGGTTTTGAAAAAAATATGGTACTGATCCACCGGATATCTCTTTTTTATGGTAGAATTGTAATTTTGAAATGAGTAGTTACAACTGTTTAAGGGAGAGGCCAAAATTAATCAAAGATATCTCTATCATCGATCATGAATTTTTGCTATCGATCTCAACCTTTNTCTTAAAATTAGTAAACTAAAATTAATTTTTTAGAGTATTGGTATAATTTGTTGGAGCCTCCTTTAGTTAAAAAATTATGAAATATATAATCAAAAATGAGTAAAATATAAAATTTGTAAGAAAATTAAAAATTATAGAATATTATTTTTATTTGTGTCAATTTTATAATATAAAATATGATAAACTTTAATAAGTCTATCCAAAAATTTCAAATAAATTCATCTAACGGCTACCATGGTTGCAAGGATCTCAATTGAAGACAGAGATCCCCTGTCCACCAGGGATTGAGAAGTAGTTGATATGATCCATGACCCTATCCTGCCGAGTCTAGCAGGCAAAAAACAGTGATTCCTAGCCCTATCCATAGCAATATCGATTGGCCATGGGCCCCCATATTTTTTTGAGGGTCTGGCCCACGGACTGCCAAACTTCTGGGCTTTCAAGCCAGTTCATTTATTGTCGTAATTTACTGCAGCCTTGGAGTTAGTAACAAATCCTATTAGATAAGATTCACCGTTAATCCAACCGTTGGTCTGCAATCTGCATAATTAGGTCTGAATTGAGTCTTGAAGCCAGTAATGATTGAATCTGATTCCAAATACCTAATGAATTCTGTACTTAAAAAGGCCTTCAATTTAGGCGTGTCTACGGATTGAGTTTGAATCGAATTTTGAATTAATTGAATTTGATTTTGATTTAAAAAGNAAAAGGCAAAGTAAAAGCAGAGCCATAATTTAGAAGAGTAAAGTGTAATTTTCCCATATCTATAATATTAAATAGCAGTGATTTCAACAAGTTTATCTTATAGTTCCAAATTCATTCATCCAACAATCAAAAAATTACGTTTTTTTTCCTTAATATTTCCCCCCATCAGGTCAATGATTATGACTGATCTTAAAACACATCCTATGATCTCAAATTCATTTATCCAACGATCAAGAAATTACCATTTTTTTCCTTAATATTTTTTCTCTAACCGGTCAACGATTANTCCGTTAACAATATAAACTTTGATTTGATCTGAATAACTTAATTAACTAAATTTTAACAAATTATACTTAAATTTCAACTAATTTTTTTTTTAAATAATCACTTAATTTTTTTAATATTTATATGAAAATATATAAAAAAATTCGAATTGAATAATAACCAGATCAAATATAGATATATTTAAATCCGAATACGTGAAATATAAGATATTAGGTTTAGGTTCGAATTATTAATAAAAAAGAAGATGTTCATATCCATCTAATCAGATTTGAATCAAAATCGAATGNAAATTTGTCATTCATATCGTTTGTGTAGCATAACATTTTAAATTTTTATAAGACACAATGATAATATTTTGATTTAAAAAAACTCATCAATTTAACAAATAAAAAAAAACAAGGGCGCTAGTTAATACATTTTTATTGAATATAATTAATTTTACTTTTATTTATTTAATTAATTATCTCAAACTAACATGTCTTACCTATATCTTGAATCAAAAATTCAACACTAATTTTTTTTATCTCATAAGAAAACTCAACGCTAATATATTCTTATAAATTAATAATTTTTTAATAACTTGTACTAATTAAAAAAATAATAATTTATAAATGATATTTATAAATCTTTTTTTAATAGAAAATATTTTGACGATATGTTTTTTGATAAATTAAATTTGGTTCGATTTTGATTACATGTGTATAAATTAATGATTTTTTAAGTCAATTCTATATATTTCGTGGATTTATCTATAATATAAAACAAAAAATACTTCAATAAGTTCATCCAACGGTCTCAAATAACCTGATCCAACAGTCACCAACATCTCTCTTCAAACTGTTCAGATTGAATTTTATATTTCTCTTCTAACTCTTCACTCTCTCTCTCACGCGGTGGCAGAAGGGGGGAGGAGCTTGGGCCACCCTGAATATTTTTTTTTTTAACTTATATATGTTTTATATATTTTTTTGAATATTTTTAATTAGGTCCCCTGTAATTGATTTATGAAAAATAAAATTAATTGGGTTACACAAGTTAGGTACTAGAACAAAAAAAAAATACAAAAAGATTATATCAAATCTCTTAAAATTAGTAAACTAAAATTAATTTTTTAGAGTATTGGTATAATTTGTTGGAGCCTCTTTTAGTTCAAAAATTATGAAATATATAATCAAAAATGAGTCAAATATAAAATTTGTAAGAAAATTAAAAACTATAGAATATTATTTTTATTTGTGTCAAATTTATAATATAAAATATGATAAACTTTAATAAGTCCATCCGAGAGTTTCAAATAAATTCATCTAACGACTACCAATATCTATCTCAAAACTATTCTTATTAAAATTTTCTCCCCACGTATCTATCACTTCTCTTTTAAATTATACCGTGTCTTCGGCCACGTGTTATCCTAGAATATATATAATCAATATATCTCTTTCAGGAGCACTCTGTAAGATGGACTCTGAAACTTCAGTTTTACCCTTTTCCTCTCAATGGACCTTGTCTGCTTTGCTTTGGTCCCTTGTTCTAATCCTCAATACCCAAACAACCCCACCGAAACTCCACCAGATAGTTGCCCCAGGGATGCTCTTAAGCTGGGTGTATGTGCAAATTTTCTGGGCGGCATGTTCGGAGCTGTAATCGGAACACCTCCGGTCACTCCTTGCTGCATCGTTCTGGGAGGTCTAATGAACATGGAAGCGGCTGTTTGCCTTTGCACCATCATTAGAGCCAACATCATGGGCATCAGTTTGTATATCCCTGTTTCCATCACTATGCTTCTCAATGTCTGTGGAATACCTCCTCCTGCTGGCTTTATATGTGCTGTTGAACCAATCATCCCTTCACCATCTCCTCCCACTCACTCTCAGTGACGAAGAAACCATGTAATAATGTTGCTTATTGAGGCTTTTATGAGTGATTCACTCTTGTTTAGTACTTGACCCCAATAAGTTACATTGCAAATTCATGATTTTCATCTCATTTTCGGTTGTGTAGACCATGGGCTTTAACTCTTCGAATTTTAACAATCATTTGTGGAATACCGCGAGTTTGAATTTTAACAATTTTTTAGGTCTAGTTAGGACGGATTTTTTTCTCATGAATACCTTAATTTTGATGACTTGAATGATCTGTCTTTAATCAAATTAGAGAGAAAATTAATCAAAGTGTATATAAACTAATCTGAATACTAACTATTGAAAAAAAAGAAAAGATGAGAGTCCTTATATTTGGATGGAGAGAGAGATGAATGCAACACAAGATATGAATACAAAAGGAACAAAAGACTTGGATTGGTGTCTCTGCAAACTTGAAAATTTTCTGTAACTCACCCAGATAACAGATTACAGCCAATTTAATTTGCAGAATGAAATCCTCAACGTCTGTTTGGCATGATTACTTCTTGGTACAGTGACAAAAGACAAGCAGCAAAGTATACGAGTTTTTTTTGTTTACCGGAGTGTTTAGGTCGATTTATGCGCACTTCTCTCTTCGGTTTGGTCAAAAGTTTGTCATCGATGCTAAGATATTCATAATGAATAAATCCCTCGTGACTTGACTTTAATAAATTATCAAAATTTAAATTGAGGACGTCTGAATTTATAATTCACCTTTATTATCTTTAAAATTAGTACATGAGTTTACCAATAATAAATAGTCTCACTTTCCGTTGGATTTACATGTGTTAAATTATGATTATTTAGTCACGTTTTTATGTTCCAATTTACTTACCAAATTTTATTTTATTTTTACAAATACACTAACATGGTTGCAAGGATCTCAATTGAAGACAGAGATCCCCTGTCCACCAGGGATTGAGAAGTAGTTGATATGATCCATGACCCTATCCTGCCGAGTCTAGCAGGCAAAAAACAGTGATTCCTAGCCCTATCCATAGCAATATCGATTGGCCATGGGCCCCCATATTTTTTTGAGGGTCTGGCCCACGGACTGCCAAACTTCTGGGCTTTCAAGCCAGTTCATTTATTGTCGTAATTTACTGCAGCCTTGGAGTTAGTAACAAATCCTATTAGATAAGATTCACCGTTAATCCAACCGTTGGTCTGCAATCTGCATAATTAGGTCTGAATTGAGTCTTGAAGCCAGTAATGATTGAATCTGATTCCAAATACCTAATGAATTCTGTACTTAAAAAGGCCTTCAATTTAGGTCTGTCTACTGATTAAGTTTGAATCGAATTTTGAATTAATTGAATTTGATTTTGATTTAAAAATTTTGATCCCATAATTTGAAAAATTGTATTTTTGCGGTCTATATCTGAGTCCGTTAACAATATAAACTTTGATTTGATCTGAATAACTTAATTAACTAAATTTTAATAAATTATACTTAAATTTCAACTAATTTTTTTTTAAATAATCACTTAATTTTTTTAATATTTATATGAAAATATAGAAAAAAATTCGAATTGAATCATAACCAGATCAAATATAGATATATTTAAATCCGAATACGTGAAATATAAGATATTAGGTTTAGGTTCGAATTATTAGTAAAAAAGAAGATGTTCATATCCATCTAATCAGATTTGAATCAAAATCGAATCCATCGACAATCCCACTTGAAGCAACTATTAGGAATTTGGCGTCAAACCAAAGAATATTTGGCATTATGTGCAGCAAAAACCTCTGGTCCAGCTCCAGAGTGTGCGGAAGGTCACAAAGCATGGCTGCCAATACATTAGCAGCTCAAGGTAGAAGATGAATGAAGAAAGAAATGGTATAGGCTAACCATGCTACTTTGTCATATATAGAAGTTTATATTTATTAATACAGAGTTATATTCTCAACCAAAAAAGAGGAGGGGGGGGGGGGTGCTGTTGAGATCTTTTTTGCTACCCTGTCACCAACATCACTGTTTTTTAGTGCTAAAATTACTCCTAGGGCTTTGGGCGCTTGTTAATTGTTTAGGACATGGGAGTTTACCAAATTCCTTAATTTTGGTTGAGGAGGATGTCATGTTACAATATTTTTATTTTGTTCAAGAGACATTCTTGAAAAAGTTGCAACCCTTTTTGTCTTTGGTCTCCTCCGAGAGGAGACAATCCTGATCTAAGCCTGCCTATATTCAATCTTTTCACCACCCTCTCAATTATTTTTTTAACTACTTACAACAATAGAATCAATAGACCTTTAGCTGGTTGGAATTGAAGTGACCATTGCTGGTCATGACAATGGCACCTGCTAATCTCCCCCCCCCCCCCAACACCCCAAAAAAAAAAAACCCTCTTCGAGGAAATATCGGATGTAATTGTTATATTATGTTAACAACGTTAATGTGGTGTAACCATCAAGAACAATTGTCAATAATATCTATATCAGNTTGAAGTGACCATTGCTGGTCATACAAAATGACAATGGCACCTGCTAATCTCCCCCCCCCCCCCCAACACCCCCAAAAAAAACCCTCTTCGAGGAAATATTGGATGTAATTGTTATATTATGTTAACAATGTTAATGTGGTGTAACCATCAAGAACAATTGTCAATAATATATATCTCATTATGTGATCTAACTTGCTCACTGACAGGAATAATTTGAATCAATAACTGAGTTCAAATGATTAGATGCATGTAACACTATTATTTTGAATTTGGTGATAGCTCGAGAGCAAGAGCGAGCATTAGAAGATTTTTTTGTTGTTTCATTAATAGAAAACTATCTCAACTACATATTTTTCAAACTCATGACTATAATATATACTTTGGATATACAAGATCATCGATAAATCACACGCATCAATTAAAAATAATAATTTGTGATTAGAGAGATTCAAACTCAGAACACACAAGTTTATAAGTTTCACACTTATATATCGTAATTGAGCTTTATGTTTGCGTATTTTTTTTTTTATTCAACCGAAATCAATGTAACNGAACACACAAGTTTATAAGTTTCACACTTATATATCGTAATTGAGCTTTATGTTTGCCTATTTTTTTTTTATTCAACCGAAATCAATGTAAGTGCTAGTTCCGCTTACAAAAGTTTGGTAACAAATTGAGAGTTTCCATTCTGAAGGATTGCAGCATGTGTCAAACTACTATCAGGTGTCAACTGAGAATCACTGGAGCAAACTGATTAGCTGCCGACTTCATTTAAGAAACCAACCACCAGACTCGATCTACAATTCTCACTCATCTTCTGGGTCTTATATTTCTGGTACGGTAACAACCTATGGCTCAATGTGCATCAAGAGAGAAGATCTAGATACGTATATGAAGAAACTTTAGAAAGGGTTTATTTGTTGTGAATTGGTGGTTTCCGATGTGGTGGCTCATAGTCCGTCTCTATTATGCCTTCATGTGCCCAAGAAGCTGGCCATCTTGAACCCTACATCATGCAGTTATAGCACTCTCAGTGTAATATTATGCTTTTTAGGTATCAAATGAGTGTACTCAGTATAAGAAATTCTTGTCATTGTGAGNATCATGCAGTTATAGCACTCTCAGTGTAATATTATGCTTTTTAGGTATCAAATGAGTATACTCAGTATAAGAAATTCTTGTCATTCTGAANCATCTTGAACCCTACATCATGCAGTTATAGCACTCTCAGTGTAATATTATGCTTTTTAGGTATCAAATGAGTGTACTCAGTATAAGAAATTCTTGTCATTGTGAGATCTGAAAAGGGTTAAATATACACAATTTTACCCCTATAAACAGAGAGACTATTTTCACAACCCGAATATATGACCTCCAAATCACAATGTAAGCGTATTAGGTATCAGCTTTTGCCAAATGTTTCTTCTAGGAGAATTGACTATGATGCAGATGATTTCATACACACACAAACACGAAAGGGCACACACACAAGCATATATATTATATACAAAGAAGAAAAAGGTTGTGCAATTCATATTTTCCCTACTGTAACTATTTTGTTAAACCCAAATTCCTCAAAGTTACCGTAACCATGGGAAGCCCACCTGTCTCCCAAGTCCAACTGCTTTCCAAGTCACATTCTAGTTGGTAAAAGTCTTCATTGAATGCAAATGAAACCCCCCTCCCCCTTTCCAAAAAAATTCAATTCATTTATGCATATCCACACCAGTTTTATATCAGATTTTGCCGAAACAGTTTCATGCGCATCATATATGGGTTGGGGCCTATTCCTTGCTCATGTCTGTTTTCAAACTTAAAAGGCTTCATGCACTGACCCATCGTTCTCACTTGGACATGGTGAAAGAGATGGATCATTAGGTGGTGGTCACCTTCAACCCAAACCTAACTGGTCAGCTCCTTTAAAAATAAAAATAAAAACTATCGGGCATGTGATGTGTAATTTATTTACCTCTATTTTTGTTGCCTTTGGCAAACCCACGTGAGGAGACGATTCAAGAATCTCACTTCCTGCATGTTCCATCCCTATCAATAACAATTACAGTAACAACAGTAAATGCAAGAAAAATCTACATTTGATCCACCACCTTGTCAGAACACAAGATGCTTGGTTTTTCCTTATTATAACCTTAGTGCGAAGGTACTTTGCACTTTCTAGGTTTGATCAAACACAAACTCATGATGGTCAAGAAGAAGAACAATAAGCTATCTTTTCTACAAAGCTTGAATACCAGCCTATGAGGATTATTGTGGATATATATTATGGTTAAGGCCGTTAAGCCGCTCGTGAATATAACTCCTTAGTTTCTGAGAGGCTCTATGGCTCTCATCTTAGTTTCTATAATCTAAATAGTCATGACCCATGAGACTTTTAATGATGGGCATATAGAAGAAAATAAATTCAATGAAGCTAAAACTAAGAAATTTCAGTTGTGAGAGGGAGGGCGTGTCCTCGGCCTAGAATAATCCGAGTAAAACCCAGGATGTTCGTCCCTGTTCCTGTGGGGCACATGCCAGGAAACTGAAACCAGAGACTTGATCGGAATAAGACCTGAAATTGCTCCTCGGCTGAATTTCACAGAAGCCTTCGTCTCCTCAAGATTTGAACTGATTGCACCACCATGACTCGTCTCAGGCATTCTCTCTCCTCCGTGCTTTGAATCCATGCTGAGTTTAACATTCTCTCTAACCTGCACATCAATCCCAAACATCTTTATAAACCCAGAAACAGTTAACATTCTGAAAGTACTATGAAGTTTTAAGATCGAGAGAGAGAGAGAGAGAGAGAGAGAGAGAGAGGACCAACATTGACAGAAAAGTTTTGTTTGCCAGAACCCTGATTGACTACCCCAAGATGACGGGAGTTGCATGCATGCATGCAGAGAGCCAGGAGGAAGAAGATGAAGAGAGAAGATCTGATGGACATGATGCAGAAATGGCTTGTTGTGAAGGTCACTGCAGGGATTAGGAGACTATGAGAGTTGGATATATATGTTGGTAAGATGGGAAAAGTACAGTAAATAGTAGTGAATGAATAAAAACAAAAAGCATTAAATAGAGGGTCTTGTAGGAGATCAAATAAGCTGTTCAAGATAACATGCAGGTGAGTGCATGATGAGACGTATGCTGAAGGAAAATGAAGTTTCAGGGTGGCCTCCCTTGTCTCCTCCCCAACTCTCACCGATACAGCTTGTTGGGCCCCAATAGCAGCTCTAGAGGGAAGAGGAAGAGGAAGAGGCCATGTGAGAAGGGTATATGCGTGCACGGGCAAAACCGGAGAACCCACGCTGGTGGGGCCCAGAGTCTCGTCTCGATAAATCTCAACACCAAGACGAGATAAACACGTAATGAAAACGGAATGAAGGGATTCAGGTATAATCTTAATTATTCTTTTTATTTCACTGGGGCTTAATCTTAATTCAGATAGCAAAAAGTTGAACCTACTTTTAGTAAATGGGTCTAGACAACCCGATAACAAACGCCACAAATCCGGGCAAAAGTCCCGTATATATAAACAAATACTAACATGGTACAAGTTTAATAAAAAATATTACCCAATTTGAAAATGTGTTACTACCAATATTAGTGAAAGTTAGCAATAAAATATGTGGCAGCAAATTACTTGAAGGAGGGGATAATCGTGTATTCAAAGAGAAAATTAGGCTAAAAAATAATAGTAGTGGCAAATTAGGTAGCACGAGACAATGAGACAAGTGTTGTTTGATTCGAATTAAGCCAACAATCAAGATTCATCATATTTTCATGACCTCTTTCAATTTTGAAACGAATTCTATCGTTTACACTTTTAAATTTTTGTTTTTGACGTTTTAAGAAAGAATTCAAAGATTAATAATAAATTATACAAGATTTTAAATTCAAAGTCGTTAATTTTGTTAGATTTCAAATGACACGTACTTTTATGTTTTTTTTTTTTTATATTTTCTATTTTTTCCAAATTACTATTGATTGAGATTTTCATTTTATTATAAGACAATTAGGGTTTTTGTCGTTCATATATATATATATTGAGTGTATCTTTACAACAAAAAAAAATGGTGATTTCCTATTGTTATTTGTTTACTGCTTCGTCAAGTTAAAAGTGGTAGGGTTATGGGAAATTGTGGGCATGAAGGCAAGGAGTGAAAGAGTGAAAACAAACGTAAGGTAACGAAAGCTAGAGTCTGCCTGCCCATTTGTTTCTATCGATAACCTCCGCTTCTTGTCTGTTTGACTTGAAAATTTCAAGCTTGTGGCTCCGTGTTTGTTGCTCCTGTTCGGCCTGCATGTTACTCTGGTCCATCCAAACACAAGTTACCATCACAATTTTTAATGCAGTTACCAGGGAATTTATAGAACCTCCTCTTGGGTACTTCAAGAAAATCAGTTCTAATTACCATATTATATATGATTAATTTTGGGAACCAAACTAAAACTTATGATATCATCATGTGTCACCAGGAGCGTAGTCAAAAGTTTATATTAGAGGTAGGGGTATTCAAATTTTCGATTACTTCAACCCTATTGATCGGCTACCATAAAAAATCTGGTAAGTCAACAAAATTTTTTTTAGTATTTCACAAAACATTTGGTAGGAATGTGGAATATTCATAAAAATTATGTATTTATACCCGATCTTACCTGCATATATATAATGTTTGATATGTGCTTGATATGATTTAGACCTAAAACAGTTGTTATTATATTTGTACGATAATTATGATGTATTAATGTTTATGGTTTTCTTGTTGTGTTTTCTTGTAATTATTTATACATTTACTTAATTGAATTCTTAAAATGTTTTAAAATTATTAACAATAAAATATGTGTTCACTCAATTTTCTATCCGATTTCTTACCCGATTGTTTTGAACAGAACTTAAGTAAAAATAGTACACTTGGTCGGGAGGGGTTGGCCATGAAAAAAAAAATTCACAAAATATCGAATAGAAAGATAGAATACCATAATTCTTCCCCATAGAGTAGAGTGAACACAGCTAATTAGAGGGAGACAAAAACAGATATATATATATAAAAGTTACTAAACCATATCAATGATGTATCTAAGGAGAATACATTGTTGTTTCAAATCTCATGATTCATCTATAATTGATTTTATGAAGAGGCGGAGCCAAAAATTAACTTTAAGGGTGGACAGGTCTACTCTAACATAAAGAGATTAGTGATTTTAAGTTTTCCAAAAAATGACTCTATGTTTTATATATTTTAATAAAATAGTGTAAATCACAAATCTAAACTCTATTAAAATCTAAACTACCCACAAAAAATCTTATAAAAGACTAGTGTCAAAAAAAAAATGTAATGCAAACGGAAAAACTCATTACCAAACAATACTATTATTTATCAAATTGTTATAGTGAAGTTCACCGCCAATTACATTTGATTCACACATATATATAAGACAAATGTAAGACAATATATCATATCTCATAAATAAAAGTTCATTAAATAAAAAATGGTCAAAATTGATACATATGTTTTATATTAAGAAAAAAAATTATAAAAAAAATTAATTAGAACTCTTACCAAAATGAAAGAGTGATTACATCTATTAACAATTTACCCTTACATCTTTTTATATTTGACTGTAAAGCCATCAAATAAAAACTTAAGAAGTTAGGGTAATNGAGAGAGAGAGAGAGAGAGAGAGAGGACCAACATTGACAGAAAAGTTTTGTTTGCCAGAACCCTGATTGACTACCCCAAGATGACGGGAGTTGCATGCATGCATGCAGAGAGCCAGGAGGAAGAAGATGAAGAGAGAAGATCTGATGGACATGATGCAGAAATGGCTTGTTGTGAAGGTCACTGCAGGGATTAGGAGACTATGAGAGTTGGATATATATGTTGGTAAGATGGGAAAAGTACAGTAAATAGTAGTGAATGAATAAAAACAAAAAGCATTAAATAGAGGGTCTTGTAGGAGATCAAATAAGCTGTTCAAGATAACATGCAGGTGAGTGCATGATGAGACGTATGCTGAAGGAAAATGAAGTTTCAGGGTGGCCTCCCTTGTCTCCTCCCCAACTCTCACCGATACAGCTTGTTGGGCCCCAATAGCAGCTCTAGAGGGAAGAGGAAGAGGAAGAGGCCATGTGAGAAGGGTATATGCGTGCACGGGCAAAACCGGAGAACCCACGCTGGTGGGGCCCAGAGTCTCGTCTCGATAAATCTCAACACCAAGACGAGATAAACACGTAATGAAAACGGAATGAAGGGATTCAGGTATAATCTTAATTATTCTTTTTATTTCACTGGGGCTTAATCTTAATTCAGATAGCAAAAAGTTGAACCTACTTTTAGTAAATGGGTCTAGACAACCCGATAACAAACGCCACAAATCCGGGCAAAAGTCCCGTATATATAAACAAATACTAACATGGTACAAGTTTAATAAAAAATATTACCCAATTTGAAAATGTGTTACTACCAATATTAGTGAAAGTTAGCATTAAAATATGTGGCAGCAAATTACTTGAAGGAGGGGATAATCGTGTATTCAAAGAGAAAATTAGGCTAAAAAGTAATAGTAGTGGCAAATTAGGTAGCACGAGACAATGAGACAAGTGTTGTTTGATTCGAATTAAGCCAACAATCAAGATTCATCATATTTTCATGACCTCTTTCAATTTTGAAACGAATTCTATCGTTTACACTTTTAAATTTTTNTAAAAAATATTACCCAATTTGAAAATGTGTTACTACCAATATTAGTGAAAGTTAGCAATAAAATATGTGGCAGCAAATTACTTGAAGGAGGGGATAATCGTGTATTCAAAGAGAAAATTAGGCTAAAAAATAATAGTAGTGGCAAATTAGGTAGCACGAGACAATGAGACAAGTGTTGTTTGATTCGGATCAAGCCAACAATCAAGATTCATCATATTTTCATGACCTCTTTCAATTTTGAAACGAATTCTATCGTTTACACTTTTAAATTTTTGTTTTTGACGTTTTAAGAAAGAATTCAAAGATTAATAATAAATTATACAAGATTTTAAATTCAAAGTCGTTAATTTTGTTAGATTTCAAATGACACGTACTTTTATGTTTTTTTTTTTTTATATTTTCTATTTTTTCCAAATTACTATTGATTGAGATTTTCATTTTATTATAAGACAATTAGGGTTTTTGTCGTTCATATATATATATATTGAGTGTATCTTTACAACAAAAAAAAATGGTGATTTCCTATTGTTATTTGTTTACTGCTTCGTCAAGTTAAAAGTGGTAGGGTTATGGGAAATTGTGGGCATGAAGGCAAGGAGTGAAAGAGTGAAAACAAACGTAAGGTAACGAAAGCTAGAGTCTGCCTGCCCATTTGTTTCTATCGATAACCTCCGCTTCTTGTCTGTTTGACTTGAAAATTTCAAGCTTGTGGCTCCGTGTTTGTTGCTCCTGTTCGGCCTGCATGTTACTCTGGTCCATCCAAACACAAGTTACCATCACAATTTTTAATGCAGTTACCAGGGAATTTATAGAACCTCCTCTTGGGTACTTCAAGAAAATCAGTTCTAATTACCATATTATATATGATTAATNGAATTTATAGAACCTCCTCTTGGGTACTTCAAGAAAATCAGTTCTAATTACCATATTATATATGATTAATGATTAATTTGGGGAACCAAACTAAAACTTATGATATCATCATGTGTCACCAGGAGCGTAGTCAAAAGTTTATATTAGAGGTAGGGGTATTCAAATTTTCGATTACTTCAACCCTATTGATCGGCTACCATAAAAAATCTGGTAAGTCAACAAATTTTTTTTTAGTATTTCACAAAACATTTGGTAGGAATGTGGAATATTCATAAAAATTATGTATTTATACCCGATCTTACCTGCATATATATAATGTTTGATATGTGCTTGATATGGTTTAGACCTAAAACAGTTGTTATTATATTTGTACGATAATTATGATGTATTAATGTTTATGGTTTTCTTGTTGTGTTTTCTTGTAATTATTTATACATTTACTTAATTGAATTCTTAAAATGTTTTAAAATTATTAACAATAAAATATGTGTTCACTCGATTTTCTATCCGATTTCTTACCCGATTGTTTTGAACANATTAACAATAAAATATGTGTTCACTCGATTTTCTATCCGATTTCTTACCCGATTGTTTTGAACAAAACTTAAGTAAAAATAGTACACTCGGTCGGGAGGGGTTGGCCATGAAAAAAAAAATTCACAAAATATCGGATAGAAAGATAGAATACCATAATTCTTCCCCATAGAGTAGAGTGAACACAGCTAATTAGAGGGAGACAAAAACAGATATATATATTAAAGTTACTAAACCATATCAATGATGTATCTAAGGAGAATACATTGTTGTTTCAANCAGCTAATTAGAGGGAGACAAAAACAGATATATATATTAAAGTTACTAAACCATATCAATGATGTATCTAAGGAGAATACATTGTTGTTTCAAATCTCATGATTCATCTATAATTGATTTTATGAAGAGGCGGAGCCAAAAATTAACTTTAAGGGTGGACAGGTCTACTCTAACATAAAGAGATTAGTGATTTTAAGTTTTCCAAAAAATGACTCTATGTTTTATATATTTTAATAAAATAGTGTAAATCACAAATCTAAACTCTATTAAAATCTAAACTACCCACAAAAAATCTTATAAAAGACTAGTGTCAAAAAAAAAATGTAATGCAAACGGAAAAACTCATTACCAAACAATACTATTATTTATCAAATTGTTATAGTGAAGTTCACCGCCAATTACATTTGATTCACACATATATATAAGACAAATGTAAGACAATATATCATATCTCATAAATAAAAGTTCATTAAATAAAAAATGGTCAAAATTGATACATATGTTTTATATTAAGAAAAAAAATTATAAAAAAAATTAATTAGAACTCTTACCAAAATGAAAGAGTGATTACATCTATTAACAATTTACCCTTACATCTTTTTATATTTGACTGTAAAGCCATCAAATAAAAACTTAAGAAGTTAGGGTAATAATATCACTAAAATCCAATTGAAACAAGTCAATCATTGATTAAATTTAGACAAAAAGAGATCATTTGTAGGTCGATGCAAACAATTTTGTCTTCAAAATACGAATTTAGAACCAACAAAAGTCATAAATANCGTCTTTTTATATTTGACTGTAAAGCCATCAAATAAAAACTTAAGTTAGGGTAATAATATGACTAAAATCCAATTGAAACAAGTCAATCATTGATTAAATTTAGACAAAAAGAGATCAGTTGTAGGTCAATGCAAACAATTTTGTCTTCAAAATACGAATTTAGAACCAACAAAAGTCATAAATATACAAATTAAAGTCAATTCAAGAATGGCCATGACAAATAATATCAAAGTAAATAATTAAATAACATATATCTATATATATATATATATATATATATATAAATTGAAGATGGACCAATGACTCCCCTGGCCCACTGATAGATCCTCCCCTGATTCGATGTTAAGTTTCTAAGAACTAGTCTTTAGTGTAGAATCAAAGAATCCGTGACAAAATNTATATATATATATAAAATTGAAGATGGACCAATGACTCCCCTGGCCCACTGATAGATCCTCCCCTGATTCGATGTTAAGTTTCTAAGAACTAACTAGTCTTTAGTGTAGAATCAAAGAATCCGTGACAAAATCATTCCCTGAGATGCNACTGATAGATCCTCCCCTGATTCGATGTTAAGTTTCTAAGAACTAGTCTTTAGTGTAGAATCAAAGAATCCGTGACAAAATCATTCCCTGAGATGCGAAAGATAATTGAGATGGTCATCATCTACCATGCAAATACAATGAATGAATAATGATCGATAAATATTTATCTTGCATTACTTTGGACCATCATAACAAAAGGATATGGATGCACCTTATACTACTCCTTCCCTCAATTTCACCAACCATGTGCTGTGGATGATGGAGTATTATACAGATTTCCCAACAATTAATATACGAATGAATGACATATGCAACGGATTGAACAGGATTTGCTATAGGATTGGATAGGATTAGCCACTTCACCCATATCTATACCGGTCGGATAAGTTGCTTGAATTTGAAAAAACTACTAGTTGGGTTCAACATTGGACTATATGATTGGATAGGATTGGGCTTGAACAATTATACCGGGCATATCCCCGGCCAAGATACACCATCCAAACAAGGGGATTGTGGGCCTTACCTACTATTTTTTTCCTATTCCACTCACTTGCCTTCACTTAGCCCGNATAGGATTGGGCTTGAACAATTATACCGGGCATATCCCCGGCCAAGATACACCATCCAAACAAGGGGATTGTGGGCCTTACCTACTATTTTTTTCCTATTCCACTCACTTGCCTTCACTTAGCCCGTCAAGGGATCAGAAATGAATTGGATTGATCTGTATTCGAATTGACTAAGTGTTTGTCGATTCAATCTGATCTAATTATCCATAAGATTTGAAAAATTCAATTCATGTTTGAATCCGTTAATTTTCGGATGCCAGATCCAAAAATTCAATTCAATCTGATTATCACAAAAAACACATGTACACGAAAAAAATTAACAATGAAAATTTAGATAATGAACTAAAAAAAGAAGGAAAAATGAAAAAATTGAAGTAAAAGCAAGAGGGAAAATCAAACCAGAGAGGGAGACAAAATAAAAATGAAAAAAGNGGAAAAATGAAAAAATTGAAGTAAAAGCAAGAGGGAAAATCAAACCAGAGAGGGAGACAAAATAAAAATGAAAAAAGTGGGTTATATATTATGATATTCACTCTATTTTTATTTATTTTGTAGTATAAGTATAATATATATGTGATATTTATTTATATAATATATTTTTTTATTGAAATCAAATTATTATAAATCCATATCCGAATCCATTTAGACAACTCTAATCGGATCGGATTAATGGATTAAAAATCTGATCCGTATTCATTTAAACGGATTCAAATTTGAATTGAAATTCGATCCATTAACAAGCTTATTCCTTCCTTTATCACAGGACCAAAAATGTCCTATGTTCTCACATACAAGTGTTTTCAGAATTGGATTTACCTGACGGTTAACCTGAAAAATCAATGACCCGAAAACCTAAAATGATTCAAGTCCTGCAAGCCAGCATTGTGATAATTTATCATTTGATATGAGCTCCACATAAAGCTGTCAAGTGGTGCCATATAATCACCCAATTTTTTCTCATAAACACTTCAATGTGAGCATCAAGCAAAGAAAAGTAATGTCCTTGAGAGCATTTAAATAAGGAAAAAAAGAAGAGGAGAAATTGGGTCCATTAAGGAAAAAAAAAGTCTGGTCCATTTGAATCCGGGCATATTGGACGGTTTTTCCATCAACTTCTTAGATAAAAACAGTTTTTATCGGCACTAAGGAAAAGATAAAAAAATGAGACTTATCCAAAGGCTTTCAAGAAAAAGGCAATTTTTTCGGAAACAATTCAGACTGTTCTAACAACTTTTTTAACGTTTTTTTTTTATTTCATTTTTAAAAATCTTTTTTACACCTAAAAAATTCAGCTTCAAACAAATCCAATGTGCGTCAGTTAAACGGGCTTGCTTGAATACTGGATGTCTCTCAACAGTTCAAAGAAAAACCACATTGACCCCAAATTTTTCCTAGGGCTAATCATATAGTCCGGCCCATTTTTCAAGGATAGCCCATTTAGAGTTGTGTACTAATAGGTGATCAAGATACTCTCAGTAGCAATGGCATCAAAGAACATGTGGTTGAAGTAATTTTTGTTCTATTGGTACATTACTACATTATACCTGCATGTTCTATCTCTCTCTATTTATTTCGACTTAAAAGAATTTTTCAGAAACTTCTAATAAAACATGTAGAAAATCCAAACAGAACAAGGAAGCTGGGAGAAAATACATTACGATGATTTTACAGTTCTAATAAAAGAGATCGGCCTCTCTCTACTTTCAAGTCCATCCTCTGTGGACCAATCAAAAGTACCACATTATATTAAAGTAGGTTAATCCCAACGTGTGGTTTTGACGACCATTCAAACACCGCCTTAGGCAGACAACATATACAGAAACACCAGGAAACTGCGTTTGAAACATCTCTTACTTGCCAAATCCGAATTGGAAACAAACTTCTTGTACGTATAGACTTGCGACTTCAACAATCCAGTTCATATAACCCTTTGAAGCCTCCCTCTCTCTCTCTCCAAATTAGAAACAACCTGCTGTAATGCAGACCTAGGAAAAAAACAACCCAGTTCATAAAGCCCTTTTGAAGCTTCTCTCTCTGTGACGGCTTGTTTGTGTATTGATATTCTTGTGCCCAACAGTGGCAATGGGTCGCTCAAACTCAAAGACGTTGAAGATCAGAAGGAGGAACAATGGAAAGAAAAATCATATGGTTCCATCCATTGACTCCATTCCAAAAGAGCTGGTGAGCGAAGTTCTTGCTCGTGTTGCCGCCTTTTCATCCACTGATTTCTTAAGTGCCAGGCTAAGGTATTTATCTTTTATCTATACAATTATACAAAAAAAAAAAACAGTGACTCAATCTCCATTCTTCTTTTTTTTCTTTCTTGTTACTTACGTTTTTGAATTTACAGCTGTAAGGTTTTCAATGAAGTTGGTGAAGATAACTACGTGTTTCACCATGTATCCCTTGACAAGTTCCCAGTCATTCCATGGCGTGCTAGTGAAGAAGCTTCTTCTTTCTTGAATAAATGCAGGGAAAGCGGCAATCCAGAGGCCCTGTATAGGCAAGGAGTGGTATATTTTTTGCTTCCTAAATAAATATTAATAATAATATAGTATTGCCACTGCCAATTATATTGATAATACTTGAAATTTATGTGTGTCTATATCTATCTTGAATACAATGAATATAGCTCTATTCTTTTTTATTTCAGCAATGCTATTAGAAATTCTATTATATTTTAAACCATAAGTATTCCATGTGAGAATATATTCGCAAGTGGAACCCACAGGGGTGTACGATCTTTTACCTTCCCATCAGGGCGGAGAAAGAGATAAATAGGACCTAACTATAATGGACTGACTACGGCTCCCGAAAAAAAATTCGGTACTATAACCCTAGAATTTATTACTTTAATTGGTATTTTTAAAATTTTTATAAATTATTTTATAACCAAAAAATGTATCACTATTATGGATAATTTATTACTTTTGTGGGTGTTTCACCACTATTGTGGATATTTTTATTATTTTTCTTCAGTACAAAAAAAATTATCACTTTTGGGAATGATTTACTATATTTATGAGTGTTTTTTTACTATAACTATTTTTACAATTTTTCTTCAATACCACAACAATAATAAAAATATTCACAAATGTGATAAATGTTGGCATGGTACCGAATTTTTTTTTTTTTATTTGTTACCGATTGTGTACGTTTCACCATACTTAGATGACCCTTCCATACTCGTCAAAAACTCGTCTACTGTGCGCAATTTTTATTCTTTTATGTTGCTGAACGTTAATCAATGGAGGTGTGTAACTAACTAACCATGCATAATCTATTTCAGGTTGATTATTTCAGTTACATGAGACTAGACTCTGCCCTAGAATGTCTAAAGAAAGCTGCAAGCTCGGGACACATCGGAGCTCTATACGTGCTTGGAATCATCCTCCTATTCCATGGTGACGAGTTCAAACAAGAGGGCATACAGCTTCTCAGTGGCATGAAGGAGTCAAAGATGTCAAAAAGAAGAGTACTAAAAGACTGCCGTGAGAATTTGAAAGCCATCATAAGAAGGATTTGGATTAAAAACTCTATTGTTTTGGAAAACAGACCAGTCTGTTGTACTATGGGAGATCAACACAAGAAAAAGGAAGGATGGGCAAGTGAAACTGATGAAGAAGATAATTATCAGTATTGTCAAGCTTGTACGTGTGATCGAGAAGTTGCTTCAATTTGTACTATGTTACCTCGTTCCAGGGTCGTGTTTGGCTAAAATTTGGATTTTAGTTTTCATGATAAGCATGTTATATTATGAAATCAAAAGTAATTTTCGTAAGACTAGTGAACGATGGTTTGGTATAAGGATGGGGTTTGATCTCCACACACAAAAAAGATTCACTAATTTGAAGACCCATGAGTAGTTCTTGTAATTCCAATTCGAAGTTGGTTTATAGAACTATGAGTAAATTTTTTTTATTCCAATTCAAAATTGGTTAATTTACATGAAACGTACCATAATGTAACGTATTTTAATCTCTTATAGTGCATATGATTACCTAGGATTTGGTTTCTTGGTAATATAATGAACAATGCTATTGGGACCTAATTTAATAATTTAATTTACAGATTTAATTCAGTATAACCTTTGAATTAGCGGTGGACTTTATCAAACATTAGGTCAGCAAATTATATCAAATTTTTAATCCAATAGTTCCAACGAAGCTACATCATTAAATCAACAAATTATATCAAATTTTTAAGTCCAAATAACATTAGTCTTTTCAATAAGTTGTGGGGCTTGAGTGAATTATTGATAAACAAATACTTATTTTACGCCCAAATATCGATAGCAATTTTTCACATTAACACGATGAGAATATGAATTTGATGTAAACCACTAAAATGTTGATATTAGTTATCAAAAATAAGAAATAATTAAACTAATTTTGATATTTTAAGTAATGTATATTTATTTTTTATCTAATAACTTAATTTAAAACCACAAATCTTTAATAAAAAAGAATCGCACCTCAAAGACACCCTAAAATTTAAAAGAAATCTATTTCTAAATCAAACATACTGGTTTTAGCACTCTGAACAAGCTGATCAGAAGAGGAAGACACAGAAAGAGAGAGATGGAAAAAGACAGAGACAGCTTTGAAAACTTCACAGTGATCTACTGATGATGACGGTGGATCTGAGATCGTTCTCCGAGGAGAAGTTCGATGCGGAGATATGGATAAACAACGCGAGCCAGTCACGTCCCCTCAGGATCCATTGGACAAACCCCTGGTGGATCTGAAGATGAAACTCCTGACGTTGTCCGAGGAGCTCGCCGCCTCCCTCTAATAGTAAAGAGCCGCAGCTCTCCTCGGTTCCCCAAGTCATCCACCCACTCCACGACCTTTTCCTTAATTAGTAAGTGCTTGTAGCTTAGTTCGACTTTGAAAAGTTCGCAGGCGCAAAGTAAAATTGTGGATGCTATGCAATTGAATTCAATAACCGCGATATTACAGTTTTTTTCTGCAGGCAGAGGGATCTACAGCAGACTTTATAGCCACCCCTGCCAAAGCCGACACCGTGAAACGAAGAATGGAAGTATCAAACCCCTGACCAATGACAATTCAAAAAGTCTATCAAGTGGCCAGCATCATTTTTACTCTTTTTTTCTCGTCACACAAGGTTAATATTCTTATTGCAGTGCNGGTTTCTTGGTAATATAATGAACAATGCTATTGGGACCTAATTTAATAATTTAATTTGCAGATTTAATTCAGTATAACCTTTGAATTAGCGGTGGACTTTATCAAACATTAATTCAGCAAATTATATCAAATTTTTAATCCAATAGTTCCAACGAAATCACATCATTAAATCAACAAATTATATCAAATTTTTAAGTCCAAATAACATTAGTCTTTTCAATAAGTTGTGGGGCTTGAGTGAATTATTGATAAACGAATACTTATTTTACGCCCAAATATCGATAGCAATTTTTCACATTAACACGATGAGAATATGAATTTGATGTAAACCACTAAAATGTTGATATTAGTTATCAAAAATAAGAAATAATTAAACTAATTTTGATATTTTAAGTAATGTATATTTATTTTTTATCTAATACCTTAATTTAAAACCACAAATCTTTAATAAAAAAAGAATCGCACCTCAAAGACACCCTAAAATTTAAAAGAAATCTATTTCTAAATCAAACATACTGGTTTTAGCACTCTGAACAAGCTGATCAGAAGAGGAAGACACAGAAAGAGAGAGATGGAAAAAGACAGAGACAGCTTTGAAAACTTCACAGTGATCTACTGATGATGACGGTGGATCTGAGATCGTTCTCCGAGGAGAAGTTCGATGCGGAGATATGGATAAACAACGCGAGCCAGTCACGTCCCCTCAGGATCCATTGGACAAACCCCTGGTGGATCTGAAGATGAAACTCCTGACGTTGTCCGAGGAGATCGCCGCCTCCCTCTAATAGTAAAGAGCCGCAGCTCTCCTCGGTTCCCCAAGTCATCCACCCACTCCACGACCTTTTCCTTAATTAGTAAGTGCTTGTAGCTTAGTTCGACTTTGAAAAGTTCGCAGGCGCAAAGTAAAATTGTGGATGCTATGCAATTGAATTCAATAACCGCGATATTACAGTTTTTTTCTGCAGGCAGAGGGATCTACAGCAGACTTTATAGCCACCCCTGCCAAAGCCGACACCGTGAAACGAAGAATGGAAGTATCAAACCCCTGACCAATGACAATTCAAAAAATCTATCAAGTGGCCGGCATCATTTTTACTCTTTTTTTCCCGTCACACAAGGTTAATATTCTTATTGCAGTGTTTCTCATAGTGAAAAATGAATGTTAATCAACGCGATAATAACTCCCATCCTTGATAAATCATGAAGATCAAGAACCAAATTTTGGCCAAAGACAAATAAATCTAGCTTTGAGAAACAAAACATATAGGAGTACAGATATAGAAGTAAACTCGAGGTTACAATCACCCAGAATACCCAGCTTCTCTCAGCCCAATCAGCAAGAACCACCCCGTTCCTCAACCCTTAGGCTCGTCAATCAGCTAAGCGAAACCAGCAGAAATTATAAAAGAAAAAAAAAACACCAACAGCTAAATGATCAGACAGAGAACTGAGATACTCTGCCTTGACATCTCAATCTGCAAAAAGTACTCAGAAAAACATAAACACCTACTTTATGACCTTTGCATAGCCAAATACCNGCTTGTAGCTTAGTTCGACTTTGAAAAGTTCGCAGGCGCAAAGTAAAATTGTGGATGCTATGCAATTGAATTCAATAACCGCGATATTACAGTTTTTTTCTGCAGGCAGAGGGATCTACAGCAGACTTTATAGCCACCCCTGCCAAAGCCGACACCGTGAAACGAAGAATGGAAGTATCAAACCCCTGACCAATGACAATTCAAAAAATCTATCAAGTGGCCGGCATCATTTTTACTCTTTTTTTCCCGTCACACAAGGTTAATATTCTTATTGCAGTGTTTCTCATAGTGAAAAATGAATGTTAATCAACGCGATAATAACTCCCATCCTTGATAAATCATGAAGATCAAGAACCAAATTTTGGCCAAAGACAAATAAATCTAGCTTTGAGAAACAAAACATATAGGAGTACAGATATAGAAGTAAACTCGAGGTTACAATCACCCAGAATACCCAGCTTCTCTCAGCCCAATCAGCAAGAACCACCCCGTTCCTCAACCCTTAGGCTCGTCAATCAGCTAAGCGAAACCAGCAGAAATTATAAAAGAAACAAAAAAACACCAACAGCTAAATGATCAGACAGAGAACTGAGATACTCTGCCTTGACTTCTCAATCTGCAAAAAGTACTCAGAATAACATAAACACCTACTTTATGACCTTTGCATAGCCAAATACGGAGTCACTAGCTACATGCTATGGGCTGGATTCTTCAAGGGTCTCGTGAATTTTTTGATAAGATTTAAGGGATTAATTACGATTCAAGATAATTAAAAATCTCACGCCCAACCAATCAAAATAGTCACAAAATATTCCATGTCAAAATTTCCACCACCAAGAACAATTGGCTTTGAACAGCATTACAAATATTATTCCATCTAAGTTCACTTACAAAAATGCTTCCTCAATTTCAACACTGTTCTTTGTTACCTAATTAGTTTTACCAAGCAACAACTTCTTTCAACAAAAAATTATCTGCACAAATCACTTCTTGCAATAAAAAGAAAAAATTTGTGGCCAAAAAAAAAAAAAATAACAAGAAAATTTTTTTACTACATGCAAATCAATCCCAGCAAGACTCGCCACCAATCACCAGAATACCTATTTCCCAAGAACTTGATATAGAAATGTGTTATTTGCAAGTTAAAGTTTCAATTACCTCAAGGCACCAACACATTTGCTTTTGTATTTGTTCAAGGCGTGAACAAAGGCTCCCATCCCAGTCCACCGGGGTAATCTCAAGCAGTCCCAAGCAACACTTCTGATAGAGGAAGCGGGTCTTATAGAGAGGAAATGAAATCACTGCACATTCAAATGGTGACCAACACTAAACAGGGGCATTCGACTTCTTTGTTCAAATGGTGACCAACACTAAATTTCAGACTTGCCTTTTTACATGATCTTTTATTTATGAAATATAAAATTTATGGTTGTAAATGACTTATTCTCCCACTCCTCTTATCACTAGGTTGTTAGCTGACTGACCATTCATCTGCACGGTGCAATCATATAGCTAAACTCATTTAACTACCATTCAGTGGAAGGGGCAAGGATAGCAAGAGTTGAGGAGGAAAGGGGTTTCTTATTTGTTATGCATCAACAAATATACAATGAACTACCTCGATGGATATCATATTCATGAGCTCATAGGCATGGCAATGATGCAGCGAANTAACATAAACACCTACTTTATGACCTTTGCATAGCCAAATACGGAGTCACTAGCTACATGCTATGGGCTGGATTCTTCAAGGGTCTCGTGAATTTTTTGATAAGATTTAAGGGATTAATTACGATTCAAGATAATTAAAAATCTCACGCCCAACCAATCAAAATAGTCACAAAATATTCCATGTCAAAATTTCCACCACCAAGAACAATTGGCTTTGAACAGCATTACAAATATTATTCCATCTAAGTTCACTTACAAAAATGCTTCCTCAATTTCAACACTGTTCTTTGTTACCTAATTAGTTTTACCAAGCAACAACTTCTTTCAACAAAAAATTATCTGCACAAATCACTTCTTGCAATAAAAAGAAAAAATTTGTGGCCAAAAAAAAAAAAAATAACAAGAAAATTTTTTTACTACATGCAAATCAATCCCAGCAAGACTCGCCACCAATCACCAGAATACCTATTTCCCAAGAACTTGATATAGAAATGTGTTATTTGCAAGTTAAAGTTTCAATTACCTCAAGGCACCAACACATTTGCTTTTGTATTTGTTCAAGGCGTGAACAAAGGCTCCCATCCCAGTCCACCGGGGTAATCTCAAGCAGTCCCAAGCAACACTTCTGATAGAGGAAGCGGGTCTTATAGAGAGGAAATGAAATCACTGCACATTCAAATGGTGACCAACACTAAACAGGGGCATTCGACTTCTTTGTTCAAATGGTGACCAACACTAAATTTCAGACTTGCCTTTTTACATGATCTTTTATTTATGAAATATAAAATTTATGGTTGTAAATGACTTATTCTCCCACTCCTCTTATCACTAGGTTGTTAGCTGACTGACCATTCATCTGCACGGTGCAATTATATAGCTAAACTCATTTAACTACCATTCAGTGGAAGGGGCAAGGATAGCAAGAGTTGAGGAGGAAAGGGGTTTCTGATTTGTTATGCATCAACAAATATACAATGAACTACCTCGATGGATATCATATTCATGAGCTCATAGGCATGGCAATGATGCAGCGAATGCAAGCAAGAATTTGCACGTCATCTGGATAACCAAAAAGAAAAAGGAAAGCAGCCCAAATCTGTGATAATAGAGAAGTCAATCCATTGAGCAACCATGACAAAACTGAAATTTTTATGTTACCTCACAATTGGGAAAAAACCATGATCTTCTTCAGCAGCGGTATTACCCACGCATATAAATATTGAATCTGTCCTTTAACCAATAGAGAATAAGGCACCACAATGACCCCGAAAAAAAGAAGGGGATCAAACAACCCCACGTCCAGTATCTTAAAGATGACGCTTAAACAAATTACTTCAACCAAAGCCTGAAATAGATGATCAAAGAGTTACAACAACGAAGGCATACCTACCTCCACTCTTTCCCCGCTAATTATACTGATGATAGGGAGTTCGTACAACGCTGTGAGAACAGAAAACAGTTCCACCAATTATATTGAGGATAGAGAGATGGTACACAGCTGTGAGACTGAAAAAAACAGTTTCAACCACGATGACAAAAAAACATGAGACTCTAAAAGCATACATTCATGAACCTCATGGGTTATAAAAATGTCTACCTCTTCTGATTTCAAAGGTCAGACATCTATCTACACAACCGTTAATATGGGCGAACTGGACTTCTGGATCCCCTCCTGTAACCATGCCTTACAGGGGAACGTGACCTGCTCCTATCACGTTCCCGGTACCTGTCCCTGCTTCTGTCTCTTCCATTCCTGAAGTTGGTGTACTTCGACTCCGAACCTCTTCCCCCATCCCGGCTCCCTCTACTGTTCCTCTCTCTAGACCTTTCACGGCCGCGGTCTCGTTCTCGGTACCGATCCCGCTCCCTATCTTGATCCCAATCACGATTCCTGTCCCTCTCAGCTGATTCACTTCTTCTACGTTTGCTTTCAGATTCTTTTTCCCTTTGCTTCCTCCGTTCTTCTGCTTCTTTCTCCCTTGCTAGTCTTGCTTCTTCCCTTGCCTTCTCCTTAGCTGTCTGGTAAAAAAATATTCATATTACTCACTCACACATACAGACCAATTCTTGGAGGGCATTTTTCAACATACAGAAAAATTCTTGAAGGGCTACTCACTTTATGTTCCAAGATAAAATCCCTGACCATGCCATATCCAATGTGCTGCTTGCCAGTGACATGAGACTGAGTTCTCTCTGCAGCATCATTTGCTATTAGGAAAGAACCACATATCTCACACAGGGCCATTTTTTTCTCCTGTGCAATCATTAGTAGCTTGTCATTCTGGGGTTGCTGAGTCAAGGCTGTCTTCTCAGCATTAAGCATCTCCACCTGCAAATATCAAAAGCCGAAAGTTAAACTCGCAGAGATCTCACAGTGACAGATTCAGAGTTCAGGGAATTAACTAAACCACGCTATGAACAATTAGCAACACCTTCTTCATGAGCGCTCCAGCTTCATCAACCTTGCCAGCTTCACCAAGAGACTCCACTTGTTCCAGCAGGTTCTTAATTTTCTCCTCGAGCACAGCTAACTGCTCAGATTTTTCAGCTGATATAGGAGGAGGGGGTGGAACTTCGACCTCTTGATCAAGGCGCTCCCGCCCACGCCTAACTCTTCTATCCAAGTCCATAACCTAAAATACAATAAGTTTTATGACCTAAGCTTTCTTGGAAAGTTAAACAACTAATGAAATAAGAACCTTACCAACTTCTCACAAAAATTTGCCAGTTCTGCTTCAAATCTGGGCACATAAGTGTCATGTCTTGGGGACTGCTCAAAACTAAAGAACATATACAACAAAGCATCATTACAACTCTCACAAATGAAGCACAAACTCATATCGAAGTAAAATGAAAGCTTGCTGAGCGCACACAGGAAAAGAAAAAACATAGATATAATAAGTATACATCATAAGGCGTCATTTTCATGCCCAAATTTCTCCTTTGGATTTTTAGGGATAAAAATCATTTTTCATCACCATGCCAAGATATCAAAGTTTCAGATTCTTCTGTGGCAATTCTAAGGGACATGTGCATTGATCAGCATTATTGCATTATAAAACCAACCTGTATGGACTTTGACAAGAACCCGCAAATTTACAAATTTATTCTAAGGTGGAGATGCTTGCTGATACAAAAAAAAAAATTAAGACAAATAATTTGACACGCTTAACTTTTCATCACTAGNTTGACAAGAACCCGCAAATTTACAAATTTATTCTAAGGTGGAGATGCTTGCTGATACGAAAAAAAAAATTAAGACAAATAATTTGACACGCTTAACTTTTCATCACTAGGGAAATTCAAATCAAACTGTAGAGTAGCTAATTCATGCTATTTTAAGTATTTTGCATAACCTCAGACATGAACAACCTGCCATAGATAAAATTTTCAATAAGAAGCTAATAAACTATCCAAGCAACCTTTAAACATTATTGCATGGATACACCAAAGTAGGATTTCACCTGATACTTCTTGTAAATAATAGTATATTACAAGCGTGAAACCTTAATTGGTTATTAAAAGATACACCAATCATTCAAGTTCTCTAACATAAACTATCCCCTTTGTAAAGCACCAGATGTCTTTGTTTTCTAACGTTGGTTCATGGCGAGAGGAAACATGCCTTCATGACATGAGTGTCTGATTTTTATGGCAGAGGATTGGTTCAAGAACACAAGTGGATTATCAACTATTGGCCAACCAGTAACCTCGGACCATCTCTAGAGCGTATATGTACAAGCTAGAATGCAGAGATATCACTAATCTCTATCTAAGTAATCATAACATGTTCTTAAGTTCAATTGGAAAAGCTACAGCTAGTCGATAATACAGTCTTATCAGTTATCTTAGTCGTAAAGACAATGAAATTGATAATTTTACACAAGCTAGGAGCTAAGCAAATATAGACCGAAATGTTAACTTTAAATGTGTTATATTATTTCCTACAGAAAAAGCATCATAGTAAGCAAGCAAAAGAAAGAAAGGAACTAGAGTAGCACAGCACCCAACGAGGGGAGGACATCCAATGCCAAATTAGAAATTTTATACAACTACTTTCACCAAAACATCACCATCAAAAAAAGGGCAGTGAATCTCGGAGATGACAAAAACTTAAAAGGACGATGGTCTTGGAATCCACAAACCACTACACTTGGTCTACAATTATAGTATCTTCTTTGGATAATATCTCCTACCGTATCAAAACCTTAGGTATTCCTGATGCCAAGCAGTTTGGAGTGGGAATGTGCAATTTGAACAATAATTGAACCACTATGTATTCCTCGCAACGATCTGAACAAAGAGGATTATGCATACTTCTACCGCAATGTTACTTAAATCATAGTTCCCAGAACCTTAAAATGAAATTCCATACTCATCCATTACCTTTCTTTCAACTTCGGGTCATGAATCTTGGGGCATGGTCCTGATGCAAAGCAACATAACACAAAAGTATTGTCAGGGAAAAAAAAATTAAGTTAAATTAAAGGTTTTGCAAATTTCACCAGCTATACCGAGCTAGAACAACTAATGGGCTGCACCAAACCACAATTCTATTTTATCTTAGCTCCTCCTATGCTTCCTCATCAACCAATCAAAGAATCTAAGCAAATTTAATTCAATAAAAGAAACGCACCTAGGTCACTCCGGGTGTTCACGAAGAGATCATGCGGACAAAATCGAACCATATAGAATCCACAAACCTCCTTATCATCCCATTTGACTTCCTTGTACCCTTTTTTCTCTTCTTCAGTTAGATTCCGGGCTATACATAAACAAACAAATGAAGAACAAAAAACAAGCACCAAAACAATCAAATCAGATCAAATTCAAACAACCAAGTCAGATATACCAGGAATAGACTTATCAGGTTATAAGGTCCACTTGCTCAGTCATCCAAGTCCAAACTCTACCAAGTTAAATGAAATATGCAATTTTGAAAATGAAAGTACCCAGCTCACTAAGAAATAAATAAACTGCCATAAATGGGGATTTTCGACCCACAAAATCAAAGAGTATTCCAAGAAAACAAAGCCAAACTCCCAATTTGCAGAAAACAGCATTAGGGCTTTTGATATACTATTGGGGTAAGCTGAACTAAGCCTACAGAACAATATTCGAAAGATAATAACATCAGTAATAATAACAATAATAATCGGAAGATGAAACACCGGAGCTCGAGCAAATCAAACTGACGAAAACCCTATATTGACATAAAAAAAAATCTAGGGTTTCAGGGAAATTACCTGCACCCATGAGTTCATCTAACAAAGCTCTCTGGGCGTCCATGGCCTAATGTATAAAGTTCTGAGACTTACTGTGCGAGATGTGAAGCTGATGAGATTTGATACCTTATTGCTAGGAGAGATCTATAAAGATTATTGAGTAGAATTGAATGTTCTGGTTTTTAGGGTTTCACCATCGGTTTATCTGACGATGGGAGGGGCTAATACGACGATCGAGAGAGATGAGACAGACAAATAGGAGGTGGTGCTCGTGAGGCTTATGTTTGGTTGCCTGGCTATTTAGCTTCCCGTCTCGGATTAGGAACCTTTCCTTCCTTCGTTTTATTCTATTCTGGACAAATTTTAGCCTCATTTCCATTTCTGTTGTTAGCCTTGGCATAAGGAAAAAAGGTTTAAATTTCACTCACACCCCCTGCATTTAAGTTATATTTTATTGATACCCCTTTTGGTTTTTAAAATATCACTGAGTACACCCTTATAATTTATATAGCATTTCACAAATCACCCCTGTAGTCTACGTTGTTATTGACAAGTAATAAAAGTTATGATATATTTAAGGGTAAACCACATAAATGGCCCCTGAACTTATCTAATTTTTTTAAATTGCCCCCTAAACTTTAAATTTTTTGATTTTACCCCCTGAACTATTTAAATCATTTTAATCAATACCTTCCGTTAGATTTCACCGTTAACTATGGACAAAACTCAAACGGCAAATGCAGGTGACATATATTGAAGGTCATTTTTGGTATTTCACCTATTGTGTATGTCTTTTAGGCGCCCAAAATTCCCTCCCTTGTTGATGCTCTATTCCTAGACGAAGTCCCTTCATCTCCTACATTCAACGACTGAAGCATAATGTCTTGGTTAGGGTTAGGGCTAGGGTTCTGTGTTCCTGATTCTCATATTGAATGAATGTTGTGAATAGGTAGACCTTTCATCTCATTCCCATCTCCAAAATTCTCTGCCTTGATGCTCTGTTCCTAGATGTAGTCCCTTTATCTCCTACATTCAACGACTGAAGCACAATGTCTTGGTTAGGGTTAGGGTTTTGTGTTCCTGATTCTCATATTGAATGAATGATGTGAATAGGTGACCTTTCATCTCATTCTCATCTCCTACATTCAATGACTAACTAAACCAGAATGAGCTGGTTATTGTGGACAGCGGGTGTTATCTTCCATCCACAACAAGTCTATAGTAAGTATTGCATCTCATACTTGTAGCTTTGGTCGTTTGGTGTTGGGTATTGGGTATTAGAATAATTTTCGTGTTGTTGGCTTTTCGGTGTTGGGTATTGGGTTTTATGTATTGTGTTCCTTAAAGAAATCGGGTACTGTGTTCCTTACAGAATTTAGTTGTTGGAAGCATGTGCCCTTATAGAATTGTTTTAATTCTTACAGAATTCTTTTAATCCATATTTTGTTGGATTTTTCTATATTGATTGTCAATAGTTGACTGCAATTTATTCTTGTGTTGGCTTCACAATGCATGAGCAGGCCTGTATCCAAATTTTTTCACTATAGTGATGCATTATGGTGGTAAGTTCAAGCATATGCCCGCAGAATGTACTTAGGAGGGAAAATTAACCATTTTGATTTGTGTGATGTTGATAAAATCTCTGTCCCTGAGATAAGTAAAATGGCAAAAGAATTACAGTGTGAGGTGGTTACTAGTTATCACTATAGAGTTCCTGGAATGAATCTCACTGATAGTTTGAAGGTGTTGAATAATGACAGTGATGTAATAGGAATGGTAGAGTTGGTTCCCAAGACCTGGAACATGACTTGGTTGACGAAAAATATGATGCACAGGAAGAGTATGATGCACAAGAAGAGTATGATGCAATTGATGGTGATCATTCCGATGCTTCAAATTATGAAGAAGTGTCTAACAGTGGTGAGGAAGAAACTGATGATTACTTATTGTAGACAACGTGGCTGAGTTTGGTGGTTTGGATGAAGATACAAATATGAGCCAGCAATGCACAAATAATAGTAAACATGCAGTGGACACAGATGTCCTCTCTGATGATGATGCAGTGGACAGTTCATCTAAACCAAGACCAAGATATGCAGAATTTAGTGCAAAGAAAGACATGGAACATCCTGAATTCAAGTGGGGTATGTTGTTTGCGTCATCGTGGCAGTTTAAGCAAGTTGTTAAACATTATGCCATTTGGAAAGGAAAGGACATAAGGTTTGTCAGAAATGAGAAGCACAGGGTCAGGGCTAAGTGCAAGCCACCTTGTGAGTGGATGATATTTGCATCCAAGGTTCAAGATGAAGATACATTGCAAGTGAAGACATTTAATGATGAACACACTAACTGCAACTGGTCATGGCATAACAGGCATGTAACAACAAACTGGCTGTCTAAAAAATACATGCACAAGATTAGATCAAATCCTGAATGACCATTACAAGCCTTTAGGGAAGCTGTGGAGGAAGACCATCAGGTGGGTGTGTCCATGAATGTGGTGTGGAGAGCAAAAGAAGTTGCTAAAAATGTTATTCAACGGAATCACAAAGAACAGTACAAGAAGATATGGGATTACTGTGAAGAAATAAAAAGAACACATCCGGGGTCTACTTTAATTGTAGATTACGAACAAATCAACCCTGGGGAAGTGAATCAAAGGTTTAAAAGATTTTACTGTTGCTTAGGACCTTTGAAAGAAGGATTTATACAAGGTTGCAGGACATATATAGACATAGATGGCTGCCACTTGACAGGCCCCTACCCTGGACAACTATTATCAGCAGTTGGAGTAGATGCGAACAATGGAATATGGCTTATTGCATATGCCATAGTTGAAACAGAAAACACTAGTGCATGGAAGTGGTTTTTGGAGTTGTTATGTGAAGATATAAACATGGTGAATCAGTTTCATTGGACTTTTATGTCTGACCAACAAAAGGTATTCTTTGTCAGTTTCATTAGACTTTCTAATTGTATTCTTTTAAAACATTTTACCATATTATCGTGTAGTATTATGTCTCACTGAATGTTGTGTCATGTATTAGGGAATTCGTAATGTCATGGAGTCACTACTACCAAATTATGAACACAGATATTGTCATAGACATCTTTATAATAATTTCAAAAAAGAGCACAGAGGAAAGAAATTGAAAGAGTTGATGTGAGATTGTGCTAAGGCTACCAATGTGGAGTACTTTATGAAGGCAATGGATGAAGTGAAGAAGGAGGATCCTAGTGCTTTTGACTGGTTCGTCACATCTGTACAACCCTTTCATTGGAGTTTATTGTATTTTTCTATCATTCCTAAGTCTACTCACCTTTTAAACAACCATTGTGAATCTTTCTATAAGTTTGTTTTAGATGCCAGAGATAAGCAAACAATCACACTGCTTTNGTCTACTCACCTTTTAAACAACCATTGTGAATCTTTCTATAAGTTTGTTTTAGATGCCAGAGATAAGCCAACAATCACACTGCTTTAGACTATTAGAAACTTGTTGATGGAAAGGATACAGAGAAGGAGAGATATAATGCTTAGGTTGCCTGGCCCTAATTGTCCAATGGTTAGAAAGAAGTTAGAGAAAATAATCAAAGAGTCTCATACTTGCAGGCCCAGGTTTAATGGTTTGGACAGTTTTCAAGTTTTATGTTCTGATGGGGCTCAGTTTGTGGTAAACATAAGAGATAGAAGTTGTAGTTGTAGGAAATGGGACCTTAGTGGAATTCCATGTACTCATGTTGTGTCAGCAATTCACTATCATGGCAGAGACCCTCACTTGTTTGTTGATGATTGTTTCAGGAAAGAGACATACTTAAAGACATATGACCATGTATTGCACCCTATCAATGGAAGTGATTTGTGGCCTCCAACAGGAAAAATACCACTAGATCCACTTATAGCTCATGTGCAACCAGGCAAACCAAAGAAAGCAAGAAGAAGAGAATTTGATGAGCCTCCAAAAGTTGGGAAATTTGGTAGGAAAAGAGTTAAGATGACATGTAGCAAGTGTGGTAACTTTGGCCACAACCAAAGAAGTTGCAAAGGGCCAAATAGTCTACCAAGGTCAATCCCAAGTGTGGAAAAAACTATTTAAACTCATCNCCAGGCAAACCAAAGAAAGCAAGAAGAAGAGAATTTGATGAGCCTCCAAAAGTTGGGAAATTTGGTAGGAAAAGAGTTAAGATGACATGTAGCAAGTGTGGTAACTTTGGCCACAACCAAAGAAGTTGCAAAGGGCCAAATAGTCTACCAAGGTCAGTCCCAAGTGTGGAAAAAACTATTTCAACTCATGCTATAGGTGGCAGAAGACTTAAATTACCTATGAGTGTCTACTACTTATGATACTTAGTTATTTGTTATGATCATATTTGCCTTCATACTCAAATGTTATATTTCAATGTAGGTAAAAAGACATCAATCTCAGTCTCAGTCCCAATTCAATCACAAACATCAAACTCAGTCCCAATTCAATCACAGACAGTAAGCCCAAATATAGCTTGGTCACATTCAGCAGCTCATGGTCGTTTTTTTGTGAGGCCAGGGATGTCACAACCTCCACAATCTCATTATCCCAATGATGGCAGGCCATCCTCATCAGACGGTCAGAGGATTGTAACACGCTCATCACTACAAAACAAAGTCGAAGCAATGAGAAAAAATAAAAAGGATGGTGGGCAATCAACTAAATAGCTTGACTAGTGGCTGAGTATTTTGTAAGATGGACAAAGAAGAAGGTGGACTTTGTCTTTGAGTATTTTGGTCACATTCAGCAGCTCCATATGGATGTTCTTTGTTTGTGGGTTCCTGGAGTTTTTTGTTGTCTGTTTTGGACTTTGTTTTGTCTTAGCTAAGTGCAAGCCACCTTGCAACAACTTATGAAGTGTTGTGTTTTGTATATATGACCATCTTATTATGAAGCAAGTGTTGTGTTCATATGAACATCCACAATCTGAACATCTTATTAGTGTATATATGAACAGAAAACACTAGATTATACAAATGTCTCACTATGAAGAGAATGTTAGTTTAACAAAGTGAATTTTTATTGGATGTTAATTGAATGATTATGGATATAAATTGGATGCACTGATTCATCTGAAACATATTAGGCAACACTTATTCATTACTAATAACAAACATATGGTAGATGATCACTAATAAGAAACTCGAACAAATACATCAACTACATATTTCCATTACTAATTAACGTTACATCCTTACTAACTTAACAAACCATCAAAAAGATATAAGCAA